GCCTGGAACTTGTCCTGTGTCTGAGAAGAGTCACACACAGTCTGCACTGTACTGGGCAGCCCAATCTCACCGGATTCCGGGACAGAGATACTGTACCCAGCAGCAGGAGCTCTCCTGTCACCATTTGCCCCTCCTGGAACCGGGGCCAACAAGAGGCCCAGGGCTCCTTGGGGCCCTTGGTCAATGCCAGACTGCAGTGGAAGTGGGAGACATGGGAAAGAGGTGTACATTGTCACTGAGCACCTAGAAGGGAAGAAACCAGGACTAGGTCCCATGCTGACCTGTCCAGGCTGGGGGCACTCCTCCCGGATGGCATAGCTGGCCCTGAGCAGTCCTAGCCACTACAGAGGGACTTAGACAATTTTGAGGAAGGCGTCTCTGGTGACCAGAACCCACACAGACCGGGTCCCAATTTGGGGAACCCTGCCTGGACAACCACGGGAAGGCACACAGGGCCTGAACCCCAGGGTCCAGGGCAGCGACTGGCTTGGGTCTAAAGGTCAGGCTGATGTCAAGTGCATGTTCCTGGGGGTGGTCCATGCTGGAGATACAAATCTGGGGATCATCAGGCTTCTGGGAATGGCCTTATGGAAGGAAAAAGTTCTGAGGCCTCTATCCCAAACTCCATCATCTTACCATAAAATGTAAGAAGACAGTCCTCTCCTTCCTAGGGAGATGAAGACCTCTAAACAAGAATTACCCACATGGTGGTTTCTAGAACTTCCATAGCTTATGCTTATGCAAACCTACAAAGACCTCTGAGTCCTGAAAACAGAAACAGTTCATAATATGAAAAACCACAGGCCTGAACCTCCCTAGGAAGCAGTACCTGTGGGGAAGAATGACATTCTCATTCCCAGTGCCAGGCTGAGTGCAGGCTAATAAAACTTTCCCTGCTCTCTGAACGGTGTTATTTGTTTTAGTCTGCCGTCTGTTTAGTCAGGGGAATAATTAATTAACAACGAAGCCTGCTGTAAACACACCACAAGTGGCACTCAGTAAATATTTGTTGACAGTGATGAGGCTGTTGCTTACGTATACCATCAAATTAGAAACATAAAATTGTGGAGCTCTTTAAGCACGGTATTAGAGATGTGTCACCTTACAGATGAGAAAATTGAAGCTCAGAGAAGCAGAGTAATATATCCAATGTTGCATAGTGAGGTAGAGGCAAAGCTAGGACTTGCACCCCAAATACCTGATTCTAAATTTATTCATTGCTTTTTCTACTACATCACATGAGTGTTTTGCAATGTAGTGTTCTGCACAATTCATGCGTTGAGACATTAACCTTTCCAGAGAACAGTAAAATCTCATTAAGTCAAAATAATTGGAAGGATGGCCAGGCTGAATTGGGGGAAAAGTTTGAACTATTTTCAAAGATATTCAGCCTTTTCCTTTCAAGGCCATGTAGTAAACTAGAACAAATAACCACAAAATGGGGCCAAATAGAGGTCTCACTGAACCTGCTTGAAGGAACAAACAGGAATCATTTTCAAATGGTACATGAGCAGCTTGCAAATAAGTGATGACTGCTAAAAATATGTTAGGCATTTGGGGAAATAAATTTTTGTTAAAAGTACTCTAAATATATCCCTTGAAAATGTACTTCATGTAAAAATTTACATAGGGAATGTTCACAAATCTGTCGCTCAAACCATGTGATAAAATGATTGTGCGTTTGGGCTTCCCTGGTGGCGCAGTGGTTGAGAATCCGCCCGCCGATACAGGGGATACGGGTTCGTGCCCCGGTCCGGGAGGATCCCACATGCCGCGGAGCGGCTGGGGCTGTGAGCCATGGCCGCTGAGCCTGTGCGTCCGGAGCCTGTGCTCCGCAACGGGAGAGGCCACAACAGTGAGAGGCCCGCATACCACAAAAAAAAAACCAAACAAAAACAAAAAACAAACAAAATAAATGATTGTGTGTTTGATATAGTGGCATATAAATTAACCTCTTCTGTTTGGCTGTACTGGAATGGCTTGGCATTATTTCTGTAGCTCACAGCAGCACAAATTATGGCATCTGTCCCTCTCACTTTCCATCTCCTTAATTTTTCATCTATCCAAGGCCAACAGAGCCTCCAGCTGCTTGAAAACTGGAAGCATTTTCTGGCTCTTCCTTTCCGTCACCACACTCCCACCAATTTTGGCCGAATGTCCCTGCCCTTTCTGTCACCATCTGTGAGAAATCTTTGTATTTGGCTGCCTTTCTGTCGTTTTCTGTTCAAACACTAAATATTCATTTGTTCCTGAAGATGTTTAGAAACACTGGGCCTGGTTATCCCAAACTCTGTGGTTTAACACACTCTCAGACTATTCCTGAAGCACTTCCCAGGGCTCCTCTATTTTTCTCTCTTCAAATTGACTCCTTCCTCCTCGACTGTGTAAGAATCAGAATTGTCTACCTGGCACGTAACACACGGAAGGTTCCAGACTGGCTGAGTGGATGTTACTGACTAACAGGGAGGCTGTTTGGGAAAACAGTCTGTATAATGTTCTCAGCCAGCCATTGTGCTCAAAACTGGGGAAAATGATCTCTGGAGGAAGAAAAAAAGAGGATCCGGTTGGAGAGAGATAAGGCTTTCCTTGCTGGGTGGGTTGTCCAGGATGTGATTCAAAGATCCATGTATCTTAGGGAAAAACTGATCAAAACAAATAAAGAGAGCTACAGCTGTTTCTGCCGTTTAATGTTACAGTTTGTTCTGATGAAATAGCTTGAGTTCAAAGAAAAATAGAACTCCTCCTGCATTCCCAGCTGGTGCTTTGCTGCCCCCCTCTGGAGAAATTGGGAACTGAAGTTTTTGATCCCTTCCTGTCCGGTTCTGTCTCCGTTATAGGTCTGCATCGGCTTGGCTCCCTTACTCAAAGGCGCTTTGCTACGGTGTGAATAAGTATCAGGTCATAAACTGCAAGCAGTTTACTCAATGAGTTTACATCGACTCTGAGGAATGCAGGGATCTCTATTTCCTGGCAGGAGAATGAACTCCAGTTTTGTGAACCATCTGTCCTGGTTCCATTCTCCTTCTACCAAGAATCCAAGCTAAAGCCATCTTTCCTGGTAGCCTTGGACTAATAAGAAATTCTTTCTGACTTGACATCCTGCCTTTGGAATCTTACCCTTAAAAGGGAGAGTTTAGACTCTGGATCTCTAAGGTCTCTCTGGCTCTGATTCCATAAAAATATCTTTACCAGTGAGAAATGTCTGTTTAACACAAGGAAGCTTATAGGTATTGAATGAAATTTCCCTTTTAATGAACACGATTTCTGGAAATAAAATGAATGCACTTGGTGGAGGGATGAATTTCAAAAAAAAATTTTCAAAATATGAAATATGCCACTAGGAGTCACTGTTGACATACAGTTTCATTCCAGTGTACCTTCAGTATGTATATTTCCTCTTGAGGGAAACATTTTTAAAATCAAAAGATATAAGAAAAATTAGGGGTTACAGTGCTTTGTATGGCAATACAAGTTCTGAAAAGAATATTAAAGGGGCATCCATCTTACACAGTAGTAGGTTGAATAAAGGTATCTATTACCTATGAATGAAAGTATTAAATGTTGAACCTGATTTGAGAATGAAAAATGGTAGATAGCAATTGGTAAAAAAAAAAGTGACTTTCACTCTTTTCTTATTTCACCTCAGCCATATGCAACCTCTGAGAGTCGTGCTGCTTTGAAAAGAAATTCTGGAAATTTCTTTTCTCTTTAAATACTGCTGCCTTGTCCTTTAAAACTCTAGCATGCTTGTGTCTTTTTAAATAGAAACTGAGGTTATACAAGACTTAGCAAATTATAGAACAGAAATAAGATTCAAATACATCCAAGGTAAGTCTCATTGCTCCTTTTATTTTAATAGCTGAAGAGATTAGAATTTCCAAACAGCTATACCAATCCATGAATGTTTAGAAAGAAACATGAACTCTTTCCTAATACATTGAGTAGCCGTTTATTCTAATGCTCTTACATCTTCAGGCTTGAGCTTTCAGAGTAGATACTACCAGGTAAAAATATAATTCTCAATCTAGGAACCCCAGATAGAGTTTGGAGAATCTCTTTTTCTTTATTATATATTTTTTAAAGCTACCAAAGTAACACAGGACCATTGCTCCCCAGCCTTACTGAAGGGAGGTGGATCCAGCCTAGAAAAAGATGTAGAGAGCCTGGGTACCCATCTCTTCTCAGCCTCCCCATTGGTCTGAATGCTTCTTAGTGGTAGAAATGGGTCAGAAAAGTGAGGGAACAACTCTGGAACTCTGAGCTTTGAATATTTACTGATCAGGTCCCATAGGACTGATTTTCTAAGAAAAAACTTAAAGGAATAGCAAAGTCCCCATAGCTGGTGTCTCATAGCAGTGTTTTTCAATCTGTGGGTCAAAACTCATTAATGGGTCATAAAATCAATTTGAGGGGTCTTAACCGGCATAGTATTTTATTAATGAAATAGGACAGAAAGGAGTGGAATAAAAAATACCAGAATGGATCACATTTTATTTCAATGGTTGTACATGTACTTTACTGGGTCATTATATCAATATAAATTGTGTTTCTTATGAAGGGTCATCTTCAGAAGAGCTTGGAAGTCACTTTCCTATAGCACTTTGTCTGTCCCTGTCTGGTTGCTGAGCCATTTATGACAGCTCACATCTCCTCCTCCTTACTAGCCTGCAAACTTCTTGAAGTGGGACTAATGTCCAAATTACTTTTCCTTGGCCACAGTGATTTCCTTAATACCGTGTACATGGTGGGTGCTTAGTAAACCTGTTTAATATTCGCTTCTTATTTATTTTGCTTTCAAGTTATAAATATATACTTTTCAAAATTGTCAAGTACTATTTGTAATTGTTTTGTTACATGTAGGCTGGGGTTCATATAAGCATTGCCTTTTAACCATCTTTTCCTTATTTTTGGAACTGTGGCCCAAACATAGAGGAACTGAGGCCCAAACATAGACTTCCAAGCATAGAGGAGGTCACTGAAAATGGGTTCTGCTGAGGCCATTATGCAGATCTGAACTTCTGTTTTTCAAAGAGCTCTCTCAGCTGCTGCTCGGTCGTGGCTTCTTTCTGCTGCATAAGCTCGGCTGTTCCTTTGGTCACTCCCCAGGCATCCGGCTTTGACATAGAAGGGTTGTACGGCCTGCCTGAGGCTATCCGAAGATTCTCCCAGTATTCCTTCCTGGCCCTGGGGGAACAAAACACACAGCAGGAGACTTCTCCCTGAGCTTCCCTCTCTAGGTCGCAGAGCTCAGACACCCCTGTAGAGCTGTCTTTGGGCTCTTGAGAGTGTGTCCATTGAAACACATTTATCTTTTTCTTTCAGAATCTGTAGGTCTAAAGTTACTTTGAATTTCTTCTTTTTACATACACATAGGTTCAAAAGCTAAGAGTTTAGAAAAGGGACATTTTCTATCCAAATTACCCTACCTCTCCATCCTCACTTTCTGGCATTCTACTTCCTGAGCCAGCTGAGCCCACATTTGCTGCTCTCCCCAAAGCCAGTGTTGCTTCTGCACCTCTCACCCTGAGGATCCCGCCCCAGCCTCCTTTCTATTTCCCTTGTCTTCCAGCAGAGATTTCCTCACAGGTTTCCCTGTCTCGAGGCTACTAAAACTTGCAAATCTAACTTTGTCTCGGACCCCTTGAGACCCTCCAGGCTCCTCACTGCCTTGGGATGAGGTCATCTCAACCTCGTGAGCATGAACAAAGGCCACCTCCTGTTCCTGACCTGTGTCTTTACCAAATTCTGAATCCAATATTCTCAAACTTCTAGTGTCTCAGCACCTTGTCCTCATGCCACATCTCAGTGCTTCCCTCTAGGCTGTTCTCCTGTCTGGCCATCTAATTCGTCCTTCAAAATTCAGCTCTGGTGTTAGCTCTGTAAGAAATTCTTCACCAACCTTCCCACCTTTCCCCCTGTGGGCCATTAGTACAGCCTCCACAGCACCTGTGCACATCTTCATCCTTAACTTACCATACCAGTTTGAACTTAGCTGTTTATTTCTCTGCCTACTAGACTGTTACCTCCTTGGGGACAGGCCTGTGCCTTGTCCAACGTGCTCCCTCAGCAACCACAACGGTGCCTGACATAGTTGTGCTCAACTAATGTTCACTGAACAGAGGGAAACTGCTCCCTCTGCTTGGGGTGCATCCTCCACCCCCTTCTTTATCCCGTGGAAGCCTACTCAGCTCTTCAAAATCCAGCCCCAACGTCCCTTCTTCTAAAGTATCTATTAGGTAGCGATAGTTATTCTCTTCTCTTCATTGTTACTTTTTTATCCATGCCTCTACTCAAGCAGTTAACTACATCACCTTTCTTCTCCATTTTCCCCAGTAGACCGCGAGATTCTCTTAGCCAGGGACCACAGCCTTTCATTTCTATATTCCTAGTGCCCTGCACATAGCCTGATGTGAAACTCTGTTTGTTTATTGTTCCTGTTCCCCACTGGAATGTAAACTCTGTGGGTAAAGACATGTTTTATCTCATTCACCACTGTCTTCCCAGCTCTAAGGTTCGTGCTTGGCACAGAACAGGCAATTAATATTTGCTGTACTTAAATCCTAACAACTGATTCACTGTTAGTGTCCACCACATGGCTGGTGCTTTCCTAGAGTGTGGAATCACATTGTGTTGCAACTTACATGATTTATATTCTATATTCTTAAAGCTTTCCCCAAAAATCACTCCATAAAGCTACGTTATAAACATCTCTATGAGAGAATTTAAAGAGGATAACTGATTCTTTACCATTACACAGCAAATAGGCTGCAGTTTGGGTAATGACCTCATTTGGACATCTTCATAATCTAAATGAGTTTGGTTTGGCAAATACAGTTTAAGGTTCTTACCTTGCTCTGATCCAGGGTTTGGTGTGCATGTCCAAACCACTTCCCCAGCTGCCATGTTTTTCTGAAGCTGGTGGCAAAAATCCCCTTTCCGGGGCCAGCTCCTCTGCAATCGCCCTGATGTGGTAGGGCTCAAATCCACAGCACCCACCTATGTACCTGACCCCCAGGTTGTAGGCCTCTCTGGCGTATTTTTGAATATCCCATCTGGTTGCCACTCTGGGCTCCAGTCCTGTAATAAATGACACTCTGCTTAAATTAAAAATAGATATTCAAAACAAACAGCTATAATAAATGTGTAATTTTCAATAAATGAGTTAGATAAGTTGTCAATATTTAGTTCCTAACTCTTAAAAACTATTAGCTATTTTGCATTGACATATCCAATTGTAAATACTGTGACAGCCGGACTTCAAGATGATTCCCAATGATCTCTGCCTTCTGATGTTCTCACCCTTGTGTGGACCCTCCTGTATTATGTCAGGTTGGTCTGTGAGACCAATAGAATATGGCAGAAGGGATGGTTTGTGACTTCTGAGGCTAGGTCATAAGAGACATTATGTTTTCTGCCTTGTTCTCTCCTGGAACGTTCAGCCCAGTTGCCGTGTTGTGAGAACACTCAGATACCACAGTGGAAAGGCCATGAGCTAAGGAGCTGAGGCCTCCAGTCCACAGACAGAAAAAAACTGACCCTGACTCCCAACAGCCAACCGAGAGAGCCTGCAAGTAGATCCCCCAGCTCCCATCAGGCCTTCAGATGACTATAACCCTTGCTAGAGTCTGGACTGCAACGTATTAAGAGACTCTGAGCTAAGCTGCTCCCAAATTCACGACCCACAGCAACCTGAGATATAATAAATATTTGTTGTTTAAAGCCACTAAATTTTGCAATAATTTGTTCTACAGCAATAAATACCACAAATGCCTTGCCGTTCTTCTTCTATGGTTCTTCTAGACTGATTATTTTCCAGGGTCCCTCTAGAATATGGGTAAGGACCTTAGAATGAAATAGGAGGCTGGTCGGGGTCTGGCCCCGCTCACCCGTGGCTTGATTCTCCAGGTAGACTCACCCCCACTTCCCACACAAGCTTTATCCCTCTTCCCAGACTGCAAGTATTACCCCCTTCATCTGCTTGGTCTCTTCATTCAAATCTGTTACACAGTAACCCAATGATGGTAACTTCCCTCTGCCCCGCAAACTCAGATATTGCTAGAATATCTAAGCAACATTCAGAATAGGAGAAAAGTATCTCGGCAATAACCTGGTCTAAACGACTTATTTTTTCTGATGAGGAAATTAAGATCTGGGAGAACTAAGAAATTTTGCTAAGGTTCTGCAACTTAGCAACAGAGCTGGAACCAGAAACAGAATCTTTGCTGAGCCTACCCAGGAGGGCGTCCTTTCTGCCAACTTCAGGTATGACGAATTGGTTGTCTACCTAGGTGTTGACTCATCTTTGATTTTACATTTAAGTTCAGAGGTCTTTTTTGCTTGCCGGTCCTGTCTTTTCCTAATGTCTAATTTAAAAGTTTTGGGTTGCAAGGAGAGAAGCTGGGGGCAAGATATGAGGGGATATGCAGCCATTACTTTACATGATAAAGCTCTATGGCTAGAGATTTCTTTGGAATTTGTCAAACATAAAGACCCTGAGATGATTTATAAAACGTCTGTCTTACCGAAGGGGAATTCTGGCAGGTCGATAAATCCCTGTTTGCCACAGTCGGGAGTGTGGTAGGCCAAGGGCTGACTCATCAGGTGGGCTTTCAGTCCCGCGGCCTCCAGGCCTTCTTTCATGAGCTTCACTGTTTGTAAGCTAGTTGTGAGATCAAAATGGCAGTTCACGCCAACGATGGAAGCTCCTGCAAGTGGGAAGAACATTTGAGCTTTAGGGATTCACCAGGTACCAATGGGCCCGACTCTCCTCTCACTCAGGGAGCTTTTATTTGGAATGGTGAATTGGAAGTATGGCACTGGGTCGCTGCAAACTTATCTCACCCTTGGGCAAGAATGATTAGTAACAGGCAGCAAGCCCTTTCTGCGAACAGTGCTTTGAAGAGTCAGCTATATTTGAAGTGTCGTTTATGCATACTTGGCTGTCCATCATTTTTTGAAAAATATAATCATTATTAGAGGTTTTTTTAACTTCAAATTTTAGTAGTCATGTAAAAAAATCATCATTGGACTGTTCTTTAACTTCAAATTTTAGTAGCCATTTTTTCAATCTTTGACATTATATTTGCAAAGCATGATCATTTTTCACGACTCCCAGCTGCCCCATGGCACCTGTGGTTACGACTCATCTGAGGAATAAATCAATGTTTCCTTTTATCAGGGCAATTTAACATATTATTAAGTTTCTTGGGCATAACAGCAGAGTGTAATTTAGGAAACGGTTTTTCCGAAACTTTCGTACAAGTGAAATCATATAATATGTGTCCTTTCCTGAATGGCTTATTTCACTCAGTACAATGTTTTCAAGGCTCATCCCTGTTGAAGCATGTGTCAGAATTTCATTCCTTTTTATGGCTGAATGATATTCCATTGCATGTACATACCACATTTTGCTTATCCATTCATTAGTTGGACACTTGGGTTGTCCGACAAAAAGGACTTTTTTGATGAACTCATGGCCTAGGATTTTGTAGCTGGGATATAGAGATGCCAAGAACAAGGAAAGGGAAGATTCATTCTGGCCACAATGAGAGCGGCACCAACATCCAGATTCCAGGAGCAGCAGAGCTGATGCTACACGCTGTGACCTCCAGTGTTCAGTGGCAGGCATCTTAGCGGTCCTCACTGGCCTGGGCCTGCAGTTCGCTCTTCATTTTTGTTCCAATCTGGCCTCACTCCCTGTCATTCCTCTGAATCAGTTTTTGTTAAGGACACCGATGACCTCAATCTTGCCAAGTCTAGTAGTCACTTCTCTCTTCTCATCTTACTCAACGTCTTGGCAGCATTCAACCTCGTGGCACTCTCTCCTTCATCGATACTCCCCTTCTCTTGGCTTCTGAGAACTTCCCCCACTCTCTGAGTGTTGCCCCTACCTCTCTGGCTGCTTTTTTTTGAGTGTTATGTGCTGACCCCTCCTCAAGGCTAAACCTTTCAGTCCTGTAGTGTCCCAGGATCCCACTGAGCCATCTTCTCTTCTGCATCTACACTTCCTTTTCAGCCCCAGGCTCTCAATACCATCTATATCCAGACCTCTCCCAAGCTTCTCTCTCTAACCCTGACCTTTCCACTGGGTTCCAGACTGGTATATTCAACAGCTTACTGAACAGGGTCACTTGGGTCTTGACTACCTTTTTCTTCTTTTCTCTTTCTTTCTTTCTTTCCCTTTCTTTTCCTCCCTTCCTCCCTCTCTCCCTCCCTTCCTCCCTCCCTCCCTCCCTTCCTTCCTTCCTTCCTTCCTTCCTTCCTTCCGTCCATCCGTCCGTCCTTCCTGGTGTCCTGGAGCCACAGTTTCTCTTTCCTTGCTAGATATCATTACATTAATGAAGTCATCACATCTTGGCTATTTATTGATGTCTATTAGGTATAAAGGTCCTTGTAAGGGGTTTTAGAGAAATATAAATAAAGGACACCAAAGATTTTATAATTTAGCACAGGGCTTCCCAAGGTCTGCTCTATGAAAACAAAGTTCTATGATCAATTAAATTGGGCAGTAGGTATTTACTGTAGTCCCTTCTTGGAGACTGCCAGCACACACGAACACGTCAAAGCCTCTGAGAAGTTCTGCCGCCAAGAGGCTGCTTAACGTGGCTTAACACAGCATTTTCTATCTGTGTGTAACTGCAGAACCCTATTAACAGTCTCACAGATTAGAAAATGTCATCTGAGGACACACTAAATGTGCGACACAGCTGCTGAGAGGAGGAAGTGATTATTTGGGGTAGGGATGACTATGTCAGGGCACATGGAAGTTGAACTAACATTGGAAGATGGACTAGATTTGTGAGACGGATATTGACTAAGGACCTATCATGTGCTGGGTGCTGTGCTGGGCACACGGTACTCAGTGCTGAGCCAAGCAGACATAGTCTCTGCCCTCTGGGATTTTACCATCAAATGAGAGAGCCAGACATTCAAGACATAAACTAATGAGATAACTGGGGAGTTCTGTGAAGGATAGAAACAGGGTACAGTGAGGTCAAGCACTATGGCCACTCACTCTGAACAGACCGGCAGGGGAAGGAGTAGATGCAGGCCAAGAATCCCTGCCAATTAACAGTTGGGATGATGAGGGCCTCCTCTGATCTTTTTGAAACATATTAATTTGGTTTCTCTCCCCATTTCTAATATGTAGAATAAAAAATTAGGATTCTACAATGTCATTCCTAAACCTAAATAATTATTATTAGTGACAAGTATGAAGTGACTTTCATGAACTATTAAGAGTTGGATAAAGATGAGAAATTAAACAATTAGCCAATCAAAATCTCTGTTCCACAGAGTGAGTCAGACTCTTCCACGGACACTGTGTTATTCCTCAGGTTGAAAATGAGGCAGCTTGGAAAAAAGTCTGTGAATTTTCCCTAATTGAAATGAGACCCAATATTAGGAATGGAAATGATATGAAAAGGTAAATTAGGTGCTCCATGTGTCACATCAAAGGATTTGAAAATTTATTGTACCAATTACAAAAAGTAAAACATACCAGTCATTTATGAGAATGGAAAAACTTCGGCAAAGAGGGCAACTGACTTAAAAGTTATTAATGTCTAAAGACCTCAACTTTAGATAATTTAAAATAAAACATAATTTTTCCTAATGTTCCTTTTGATTTACTAAAATTCTTCTCATTTCCAGGTGTTAAACCTTAAGCGTAGGTCTAATTGCCCATTTCAAAAGGCTGGTATGTCTGTGTATGTATTTTTTTTTAACATTTTTTTCTCTTTGGGACTCAATAATGATATTATAGATATTCCTAAGAAAGTAAATTAATGGCTTTCCTGTAACAAAAGTAGTATATAGTGATTCATAGATGGACCTGCATTTGTATGTCATTTAAAAGACACACTAGGGGGCTTCCCTGGTGGCGTAGTGGTTGCGAGTCCGCCTGCCCGTGCGGGGGACGCGGGTTCGTGCCCCGGTCCGGGAGGATCCCGCACGCCTTGGAGCGGCTGGGCCCGTGGGCCATGGCCGCTGGGCCTGCGCATCCGGAGCCTGTGCTCCGCAGCGGGAGAGGCCGCAGCGGTGAGAGGCCCGTGTACCGCAAAAAAAAAAAAAAAAAAAAAAGACACACTAGGGGCTTCCCTGGTGGCGCAGTGGTTGAGGATCTGCCTGCCAATGCAGGGAACCGAACACAGGTTCGAGCCCTGGCCCGGGAAGATCCCACATGCCGCGGAGCAACTACTGAGCCTGCGTGTCTGGAGCCTGTGCTCCGCAACAAGATAGGCCGCGATAGTGAGAGGCCCGCGCACCGCGATGAAGAGTGGCCCCTGCTCGCCGCAACTAGAGAAAGCCCTCGCACAGAAATGAAGACCCAACACAGACAAAAATAAATATGAAAATAAATAAATAAATTTAAAAAATAGACACACTCATTGCAAACTGGTCAGAACGCATCATCACCTGCTTTCACCAGGCGCACGGCACATTCGCCAGGGGCCACACCGTGTAAATCTCCCTCTGGGCCGATGCACATGGTCGCTGCCACTGGTTTTCCAGATGCTTTCAAGGCTTCAACTGCCCATACAGCCTCTTCAACGTGTTCAAAATACTGAAATAAGTTAAAGTCAAGATACTTTTAATCTTGTTTCTTCCCAAATAATTTGAAAACTTATCCTACTGTGTATTAATTATCCTCAGATGGGTGTTTTTCAAACTCTGAGTTGTGACCCATTAACATCTTTAAAACAGAATAGAAAGGTGATTTCAGCGACTTACAGCCCACAGGTTTGAAGAACACTATGTTACATTAACTGAATCACATTTAGTTGAAGCCCTAAATTGGAAAAACATTTCAAAACTAAATATTACAGCTACTAGTCATGACTGGTGCCTAACCCCACATGGTCCTCATGAGAGTAAAAGGCAGAGAAAATGTCCTAAGTGTACTCGTCTCATCTTAGATCGTATATGTTTACCTCTGCGATCAAAAAGTCCACGTTCTTCTTCATGAAGACCTCTAACTGTTGCTGGAAGACTTTTTTGACTTCAGTTTCCCTCTTGCAGCTAAGGTACGAAGGTGTCTGGCTTACGCCTCCTGCCACCAAGGCGTCTCCCTCATCAGCTACTTGCCGGGCAATATCACAAGCAGCTTCATTGACTTTCTGCCCCTAAAATGGATGAATTTATGATACGTCTACATTTTCATGTGAAATTGAAGCAAAATTGTTATTCAACGTCCAAATCTCAGTTGTATGTTATGATAGTGATTTTATTCCAGAAAACGACAGTGATGGAATAGTTCAGTGCTTTATGGAGTTGAGCAATTTGCAGTAACAACATTGCCAATAACAGTGATTAAGAAAAAAATCTAATGATGGTATTTAGGATATTATACCCAAGATCTGTGAGAGGGTAAAAGTCCTTACATAAAAGGATCTGGTATCTTCCAATGCCTAAGCTGCACTTAGAAGAATACCTAGCAAATAGTGGTGATGATGATAATGATTTGCTTTTATCATTAATAAGAATAAAATTCAATTTAAATTACTACAGAATTCATGACTTTTTGTCATTATATATTTTTTCCACAGATACATGTATCACAAGTCAGGTCTTTTCTAATTTTTTAGACAATATAAATTGATGTTTGTCCTCAAAAAACCCCAGTACTATAGATCACACAGACTCATGTAATTTTAGAATGCCTTTTTCATTTTAGAGATGAAGAAATTGCTGATTTGTTGGGATAAGTAAATGGTTTGCCCAACTTCACGCAGTTGATTGTAGCTGAGCCTGGAAGATTCTAGGTTCACTGACTCCTGGCACATATGACCTTTCTCCTATACTGTATCACATTAACAAATTGTAAAGATGTAAGAGTTTTGGACTTCCCTGGTGGCTCAATAGTTAAGAATCCGCTTGCCAATGCAGGGGACACGGGTTCGAGCCCTGGTCCGGGAAGATCCCACATGCCGCGGAGCAACTAAGCCCACGACCCACAGCTACTGAGCTTGCGTGTCACAACTACTGAAGTCCGCGCGCCTAAAGCCCGTGCTCCTCAACAAAGAGAAGCCACCGCAATGAGAAGCCCGCGCACTGCAACAAAGAGTAGCCCATGCTCGCCGCTACTAGAGAAAGCCCGTGGGCAGCAACGAAGACCCAACGCAGCCAAAAATAAAATAAATCAATCAATAAATAAAATTAATTTTTAAAGAAGATGTAAGAGTTTGTAAGGATACTCCTTCAGCAACTTAGTCAAGAGACTGAGAGAATCATTAATAGTTAAATACTTCTTTGATCTGCTTCATTAAATGCCTTTCTGTTAATTTGAGGGACGCTAGCTAAAACCTAAGAATATTATTTACACATATCTCGTTTCTGTATTGTTTAAAACAAAACAGAACTCTAAAGAGGCTCAACACTTTTCTCTGAGAGCTTTGGTAATGACACGCGTGTCTACCGTGTCCTTCTAAGAGCGCCATGTGTGGTGTTACTCACGGATATTTTCTCTGCAACATAGTTTCCCCTGTTCTCCAGCTTGTCTTCACTGGCGTAGAAGGTGAAGGTCTGCATGACATTCGATCCAGCTCTGAGGAATTCTCGATGAAGCTGGCGAACTGGGAGATTGAATGAGGGAAAGGTATTCATTGTTAACAGTTTATTAGTCTGTGATGCTTTCAAAAGGCGCTCAGATAAACAACTATGAAAATAGCTGCTTAAATTCCTGGTTGCCTGGCATTTGCTCATCCTGGGGGCAAATGAGGGGTGGATCTGGAGTCTCTTGCCAGGAGAAAGAGATTATCTCTGCCATGGATGTGGGGTGAAGGGAAGAGGGAGGTCCCACAGAGGAAGAATCATCTCAGTGCTTTTGCCAGGCAGAGAAGATGGGGAAGGACATTCCCTAGAGAGGGAACAGCGCGAGCAAAGAGAAGGAGGCAAGAAAAGTCTTGGCATTTGGGGGAGTGACAAGCAGTCTGAGTGGCCAGAGTTGAGGATATGCTGGAGAAGTGGTGGGAGATGCACTTGGAAAGGTGGGCTGTCAGAGTGTAAAACAGCCTAGCACATCATCCCAAGGAGTCTAGGTGCCAGACCACAGGTATCAGTGTTTTTGTTTTGTTTTTTTAATTTATTTTATTTATGTATTTTTGGCTGCATTGGGTCTTTGTTGCTGCGCGCGGGCTTTCTCTACTTGCGGCGAACAGGGGCTACTCTTCGCTGTGGTGCACGGGCTTCTCACTGCAGTGGCTTCTCTTGTTGCAGAGCATGGGCTCTAGGCATGCAGACTTCAGTAGTTGTGGCATGTGGGCTCAGTAGTTATGGCTCACAGGCTCCAGAGCACAGGCTCAGCAGTTGTGGTGCACGGGCTTAGTTGCTCCACGGCATGTGGGATCCTCCCAGATCGGGGATCAAACCCGTGTCCCCTGCATTGGCAGGCGGATTCTCAACCACTGCACCACCAGGGAAGCCCAACTCAGTGTTTCTGAAAGATAATTCTGGTAGTAGAGTGGAATAAGTGTCGGAGAAATGTTCGCAATCTAGGTTCATGGGTGAATACCACGTGGCGAAGCTTTCATTGTCTGGAGGAAATATGGTGGGAGGTTTCTTTTTTTTTTTTCCCCATATAATCAAATGTATGCAAATTAAAGAGTTATCCTTTGCTCTAAAATAGTGGTCCTAAACCTTGGTTGCCCATTAGATATCCTGCAAGCTTTTCAAAAATTATGAAGGTTAGTGTCAGATCCACATATATTCTAATTTAATTGGTTTGGGGTAAGGCACAAGCAATTTTTTTTAAAGTTTTCCCAGCTGATTCTTATTTTCAGTTTTGTTGAGAATCACCATTCTAAGAGAGCAGGAGGATGTTTCTTCTATAAAATGATATTGAGACTTAGATGGTGTTTTGTTTTTGTCAGGAGAAATGACTGGACAGAGTAAGAAACCAACAGTCGTATATCGAACCCTAAAATTTATTTTGAAATTTCAGAGACCTATGAAGTCTGCCGGTCTGGGAACAACTACATTAGACACTAGGAAATTATTAGGACACTGGTGTTCTTAGCCCTTCAGAGGCTAAGACTGGAGATTAGTTTGGCATCTTTGCAACCCAGATGCCTAGTAGAGTGCCAAGAACATAGGAAGCTCAGTTTTTGTTTATAAATGGACAAAAAGGTGAGGCCAAAACCGCTTTTGAATTTCAGAGAATGGATTTCTAAGCTTGAAGCCAAATCTCTGCTTTTAAAATCATGGAACCTTTCGTTCTCAGTGGGAACTTAAAAGCATGCCTAAATTAGGGGGTTTCGAAGTTGTTTTAATTAGCAGCAGAATCAACTGAAAAACCTTATATACAGTCAATCAGATAAACACAGAGTGCTGAGGTTGGAGCAAGGGAGAAGGGACTACAGACTTGGTATCTGGGACAGAATGGTTTATGAATAAGAAGTCCACCCAGCTGGCCCTTTGATGGATTTCCAGAGGCTGTAAAAAAAAAAAAAAAAAAAAAAAAAAAACAAGCAAAAACCCTGGAATGGTGTGCAAATCGTTTACATGTATGTACATTGTATAGTGCTCATAGGGTCTATAATCTTTTATCAGATTTTTTCAGAGGGCAGTGAGTCAGAAAGGTGAAGACAAACTTTTCACTCTTAATAGATTTGATTTGATTTGATTATTCCATCATGCTTCTTAAAAATGCCATGCTTTTCAAAGTGTGACCCTACTAGACTCACTTGGGGACAATTAAAAATTCAGATTCCTCAAACCCCTCCAGACCCAGGGAAACTGATTCAAAGCTGATTCCACTGAGTGCAAGAACCACAACTTTTGGCATAAATTTTAGTAGGAGAGTTAGTCTGGTAATTTCTGAATATCCTTTCAATTTCTATTTTCTGTTTCCTCTCATCATAAAACGATGAGTTTTCATCCTCTAACCGACAATAGGGTATGACCAGTTCACATGACAATGATACAACTTCTGCTAATTAATTATATTCATTTTATGGCTTTACGCTCTTCATATACTAGTTTTATTTTAGCATCACAGAAGCTAAATATTACCAACTTATGTGTGTGTGTATATGTATAAAACATATGACCCAGACATATATGTACAGAATATAGATATTACCTTGTACACTTACTTGAGAAATGCAAGTCTTTGAAATTCCACAGCAAACTCTAAAAGGTCAGATAAAAATTTGCAGTATTTCTTCAGTGGGACAATAAATTTGCAGTAAAATCATTTGGCAGCAAAATGTCACCTGAACTAATGTGAGGATATTTATAATTGTATCCTATTCAGTGTGGGTAGCCATATATTTTGATGCAAAAAGAGTATTCATGTGTTTAATGGGGCGTAGGGGAGCACTTCAGACCCTAATAAAAGCGTTATGCAATATGTAGCATATGTAACGTATTAACTTTCTAAAATTCCCACAAATTCTGGATTCTAAGATGCATTTGGCCCCAAAAGGGCTTGGATAAGGAATTGCAGACTTGTAGCATAACCTTCCCTTTCTCACTGCTTCCAGCACTAAAAAGTCAAGTCCAGGCACCACTCCTACAAAAGTGTTTTGGGTGCCATCCAGTCTACAGGGAAACTTTTCAGGGTCTATATGAATTCTAGTTATTACCCAGTCAAAATTAGAAAAGCACCTGCAAAAACAAATTCATTTGCATAAAGTAGCATGACAATGACCACCGCTCTCATTTAGAGCATGAATGTTTTAAACACATTTCACCACCCCCCACCCCAGAAAAGGTTAAATACATCCAAGGTCGTATGAAATGGTTCTTTGAAGATAAGTTACAAGCAGATTTGTCTTTTCTGATGCGTCCTGTAGTCCACTGTGTTTGACAGAGTTTGAACTAGGCACTGGCAGAGTTGAATATAGGGGATTTCAGGCTGTAGCAGAAAGGATTAAATCTGATGACTCAGTATCATGGAGTTTTCATTAATTCTTGGAAAGCAAGGAGCTCGCAGAAGAAAAAGTAGAGCAAATGCTCAATACATGTAAATATTCAAGACACAAATGGCCAAGAGATCAAATGTGCTGTTTCTGCATTAATAAAATCAAAGAAAATCAGTATCAGAGCAGTTCCTCTTGAGCTCCTCTAATGTGTGACTTTAAAAAAGTAAACGTGACTAACAAAATTGAAATTTGCAGTTTAAACAACAGTCTTATTTTGTTTCCATGGCAAAGTTTGGGCAAAGGTAGTTTATTGTTAATGTCAGTTTGGCCCAAGAAATATTTCATTCTGAGTTTAACCCAGCAAGCAGACCTTAAGAAACAAACCATAGATATATTAGAAATTCTCACTCTCAGGTCTTAATTATGCCATTGTGTTCCTTACATCCCTTCGACACAATGCTTCTGAAAGTGGGGTTTACCTTGCCATCGTTTGGAGACAAGTATTATAAATATGCAGGTTCCTGGACCCGTCACAAACCTAATGAAACCAAATCTATAAGTGGGGTCTGGGAATTTATTATTTTTAATAAACTCCGCTGGTGAAACTAAAATTTGAGAACTCTTATTGGCTTAGCTTCCAAAGCTTACTAATTGCATTTTTTTTAAGGGTAGAACACAGTATTATTTCTACGTTTATTTAGGAATATAAAAGTTGCGTGCATTTGCTGGGTTTCATAGTGTGACTATGGCTCTTCGATTTTGGATATTTTTTTGGGACAGTGTGATTTGAACACACTTCTGTACTTCTCTAGCAGTAATAGGTTAATACAACCAAGAATATTACCAAGAGAGGAAGCAACTCACTCAAGTTACTAACAAGAGCGAATAGTTGTAGTGTTTAACATGAGCCAGGCACTCTTTTGAACACTGCACATATCATTTATTTAATCCTCATAACAACTTTATGAGGTAGATGTCAATATTATCTCGGTTTTCTTAGCTAAGTAATTTCCCCAAGGCCGCACAGCCTAGTGGCTGTGTCAGGATCTGAGCCAGTTCGTCTGGATCCAGAGTCTGTACTGGATCTCAAAACTGTACTGTTTCTCAGTTTATGTTCTTGGTTAATTTCCATCCTTCGTCACTGAGTTTATTGGAATACGCTCTTCTTTAACGTAAAAAACATCTGTTTATTATCTTATACAATATTCACAAGAACTCTGGTTTCCTCTGAAAGATTTAAATTCTTCCAAAGTGTTGGTTGCTGACGGCTCCTGGCTGAGACCCTTCCTAGGAAGTGCCCTAGGCCAAAGGGCACGCCTTTGCCCAGGATTCAGCCCTCTCCTGGAGGAGGGGAGCGCTGACGGCTCGTGTGCAGGGCTTGGTCTGTTAGTAGGGGGAAAACACAAAGACCTAGCCGCCTTGCCTCAACCTGGGACAACTCTGAGGGGTCTGTGCAATTCCAGAGCTCCCTGAGAGATTGGCTGGGGTCTCTGTTACAACTCTTCACGGCTTAGTTCCAGGTCCTCCCTTTGCCCAGTCCTGCTTCCCTCACTCCCTTAGTTCACTCCCAAGAGTAGAACCCCTGAGCACAACTCTCTACTTCATAATGTGTTTTCTGAGTGGTCTGACCTGCAAGAGTTGAAGCCAGAACTAGTCATGGGAAATAACTCTGAAGGCATCATTTTAGAGTCAGATCTCCTTCTGACTAGCTAGTAATGAGCACCCACACATCACAGGTGATGGAGCTCCCAGCATGCTCTAGGGGTACAACTATTAAAACCTCAACCTGTAGTGAATTAGGATGAGATACCCTTGGAAGGGAATGCACTAGTCGGTGCACTATGTCAGATGTTTGAGAGGTCCAGGGGAAGTAGGAACTGTAAGGACTCCAGAGCTAGATGGTTATTGTTGGGTACCACCAAATACTGGAGAAAGACAATGAAAGGCTACAGGTGAGTCATCACCGATTTCAGGCAATGTGTGAGAGTCTGAGGATCTTCTGGGTGGTATGGAAAGAGACTCAGTTCCTGTTGCTAGAGAACAGAAAAACTGAGGCTCTGGCCCGGGACTAAATTACATAGGGAGCAGAGTTCTCAACTGGGAAAGCATTTTATTGCCAAAAGTTAGGGTCTGATTAGGAAGAAATGGGACCCTCAGATCTGGAATAAAGACATATGGGTGGATTAACCCATTAGCCTTGAAAACCTACATCCCTCAGAAGTCCATGGACCTGCAAAAGTGACCCATTCCTCCCTTTTAAAGATTAAATCTTCGCTATTCCTTAAGGCTGATACGGAGGCCCTAAGGGACAGCATTTATCCCCTTCAGATTGCATCCTACCTCCTCTCCTGTCCATAAAAGATTTGTGGTCAAAAAAGTAAAGTGAGAATCAGGTTTGTGGGTGCAGGTGCAGGTTAGGTAGGTAGTTGAACAGGGTGGTGCTCGTATACAATGAATGTGACTAGTTGGCAGATAGATAATGGAAGAGGGCTTATCTGCAAGATGATGATTGATGCTGTATCATGCAACTTACAGTGGGTTAAGGAGGGAAAGTGGACTTGTGGGGGAGAATGGCTAAAACACACTAAAATGGTAGAGCCAGAGTCGTGATGAGATTGAAGAATAGGAGCACTAGAGAAAGTGAGCAGAAAAGATAGGAGGGGGTGGTCAGAGAATGTGGTATTTGTCCTTGAGATTTCAGAGGTGGACAGCTATTGGCGATGGTGAGGTCTAGGAGAGGGTTGCTAAGGTGGGAATGGAGGAAAAGTTTGCTGGAGATGAGGAGGAGATCAAGGCACTAACAGGAAGAGTGCTGGATGGATCACATGTATGGATGTTGAAGTCAACTAGAGTGTTGAAGAAGTGAGGGGCAGAGAAAGGCAGTGAGCCAGGTTCTAGACTCATCTAGAGTGAGGATCAGCGAACAAGAGGTAGATATAGGGCTTCCCTGGTGGCGCAGTGGTTGAGAGTCCGCCTGCTGATGCAGGGGACACGGGTTCGTGCCCCGGTCTGGGAAGATCCCACATGCCGTGGAGCGGCTGGGCCCGTGAGCCATGGCGGTCCGGAGCCTGTGCTCCGCAACGGGAGAGGCCACAGCAGTGAGAGGAACGCGTACCGCAAAAAAAAAAAAAAAAAAAAGGTAGATATAGATGACAGCAACGGGCCATTGGTACTTACCCAACAGGCAAACCTGTACTTATGTACCTAGCACAGTGCCCCGCAGGCAATAATAAATATTTGGATACCACGGCATGAATGTATCTGTTTGATGGCATGCTTCTAGACTTGGGCCAACATAGTGGTCTTTTATGAGAGCTTAGAATATAGCTGTGCACCAACCTGCTTCTGGGTGTTCCACAGCAGCTTCTGGGGTCCAAGGTCCTGCCTTCACATAGCCCCTCTTCTCCAGTGCAAAGACAAAACCTCCATCTCCAATCATGACCTCTCCAGAGTTTAACCGTTCTAGGATGCCCTAAAATTACAGAAGAGGAGGAAGAAAAGGTGTTACTTGAATTTTTAAGACAATTTTCTACCTTTAGAACTTTTGCTATCATATTCTTGAGAAGTATGATTTCTTTAGAATTCTCAGAAAATATCTATTTTATACAGAAATTTGTGACTATATTGAGAATCACCAGAATGCTAATATATTGAAAGTTTGTGTATCCATGTGTATGTGACAGGGATGGGGTCTTTCCGAACACATTAAAGAGTATTTGAAGAATATTGTGGGAGGATGTTATGTTTGAATAAACATCTTCAGAGGGATTAGATGAAAAGGTTTTGTTGTAAAGCCTCATTAGATGAAAAGGTTTTGTTGTAAATAAATACTTAAGCACACCTTCTTAAAATGGTGATTGTTAGTCTTCCTTCTTATTCTATCAATAAACTAAAGAGAGGATTGTATTTTATAAAGTTGAAGTGGCATACAATGCTATTAAGGCATTTTGAGACTGAAAAGTCAAAAGATATTTGGTGAAGACAGAAGGAAGGAGATACTACCACAAAGAGGGCCAAATCAATTAAAGACTTCTGTCTCTGGTGTTAAAATTCAGTTTCCATAATAGCAGCTGCATTATGCTGTCCAGGAAGTTACGAGTATGCACAGCTCGCTCTCTACAAGTGAGGGAACAGGAAAGAGACAGGTAAATAAAATATTTGTAAACTAATTTCTAATCCAACCTCCATACCTATTCCATTTACAGTACTATGCAATAATTACCCTGGTGTTAATAGAGAAATTTTAAACTTAATATTTTTAAAGGGCTTTGTGACTTAGAAAGTAATTTTCTAGTGTAACCATTTTTTTTTTTTAATTTCAAAAACTCATAACCTTTAAAAATAAAAGGTACCCTAATTCAATTTAGGTCACTCTGATTTTACAAATGAAGAATTAAGGTCCAGAGTCTCTGAGTAATTTATACACGGTCTTCCAGGTGCAGTGTATATGGCCTCCTGATTCTTTTATCCTTAAATGGTATCTAGATTTGATTTTAAATGGGGGTGGGGAGGGGGGGATAGCCCTGAAAAGGCCGTGTAAAGTAATCACTTGGAATGTACTTACCTGTTGTGTTCCATTTATTACTAATAATGGTTGACAGAACAAATGCTGATATAACAAGGGTTACAAATTCTGTGAGAGACATTCGTAGGCTTTTCTGTCTTAGGTCCTCACCAACTTCTGCCTCTCTTCCACACCATTTTGAAACTGGTGCTCAGAGAAAAGAAACATCTGACATTTCTACCTTAAAGCAGTGAAATAGGACTATGCTATATATTCTTGAATAGCCCTTCCACATAGAAAAAATGTCAAGTGTACAAGTCCATGAGATAACAGATACAAAAATATAGAATTGATCACATGTAATTTTGAAATCCAAATACCTGTCATGATTACAATGTGTCTAAATGTCACATTTTAGATTGACACATATACACTAATATGTATAAAACAGATAACTAATAAGAACCTGCTGTATAAAAAAATAAAATAAAATTCCAAAAAAAAGTCACATTTTAAAACTACAACTTTGATCGTTATGACCCAATTAACAAGAAAAATAGATATATTGCTAGTCGGTGCAGTTGTATAAAAACATGAACAACAGTCAAATAAATGAGATATGACTGGCTACTAATTTTCATTTGGGTGACGTAATTCATGATATTTTATTCAATCACCTAGCAACTCTCATTGGACTCTTGTGTGTGTTTTCAAACTTTAGTAGCACAACACTTAAATGCACAGCATAGCTAAGAATCTGATATTTGGTGGCAGAGTGGCTAGCGGTGATTCAATTACCATGCTGTACATTAGTTTATTGAACAATTACATCAGGAAGAACACTCTCTTAGATTCTACTGCATTTTTAAATTACCTGAGCTTCAGACTTTCTTGTTCCTAAGCTAAGTGGCTTTTTTTTTTTAATGGAATGTGCTCTGAGAAAATGCTCAAGATATTGTTTGTGAAAAAGTGTTGCAAAGCAATATGTGTAATATCAGAATTTTTGTTTAAAAAGTACATATTTGCCTAGACAATAAACTAGCAGAATATACATCAAAATGTAGTAGACACTGTTCTTAGTGGTTTTCCTAGTTGTTTACAATGAACATGTGTTAGTTTTGTAACGTACGTTTTAATTTTAATCAGAAGTATAGAAGTATTATTGTCCATATTTTAACAGTGACATAGGCATGGAAACAAGGTTACCAAAGAAACTTTTTTTTTCTTCCCATCTTATGTCCATCTGTTGCTAAAATAATCCTTTAAAATGTTTCATTTTGTGAGTTTGAGTCTGGGGTAGTGGATTAGGATTTATGGCAACGTAAATCGGGCCAAACCAAGAAAAAATTTAAATCTCTATGGGAATCGTCCTTTCCAGACTACATCAGCTATTCCTTTAGTAGATATATGGATTGGCAAAATTCTCCACCTAACTGAACAGGTGACAGCCTATAAGCGATTGTCATCTCAGCATCTTAAATCCTGGGACTGCATGGCATTTAAAAAAATTAATTGAATTAATGTTTTTCCTTGTGTGGAGGTCTTTTTAATTTGAGGCGGGGTCACCCCTTTAGAAACTAGGTACAGCCCATTTCTAAAGGGATGGCTGGCAATGAATTTGGGAGGTGGACCTGCCCCCACAGTCCTTACAGCTGCAGGAGTACAGTTGGCCTGGCCCTGTCTCCTTCGCTGCCATTCCCTGGGCCTCTGTCTGCCAGGCATGGAGTTGGGTGCTTTGACACCCAAGGGGCAAGCATATTCCCTACTCCCTCCGTCCTTCTCTTCCCACTCCTAACCATAGTCCTACTCTCAGTGCATCCATCCATCCATCCATCCATCCATCTCCGCCCCCCGCACCGTCCCCCCCCTCACACCCAGTAACTAGACAAAGGCCCACAGTCTGGACTGAAACACTCGTCCCCAGGGAAGGGCGGGCTTGTTACTGGGTTTTTATTTTTAAAACTTATTAACGGTCCTTCCTCAATATCTTACGGCCATTGTGCTTAATTTTTCTGAAACTGTCTTTTCGAGGCCCGCACGGTGCCCTGTTCTGTGATCGCTGAAACCAAACTGCGGGATGAAAACTTACATCATCCAAACAACGCCAGAGCCTTAGGGCTGCGGCGGGGCGGGCTGGTGGGTGCAGCGAGAACCCTGCAAGGTAGGGGCCCTGAGACCCTAGGCGCCTGTGAGTGCGCGGGCGGGAAACGGTGGGAGCCCGGGCGCGCGCCTCCCTGCCCTGCAAGCGCGGGGCGTCAAGGGGCGAGCGCGGTGGCACGGGCACAGACCCCAGAGGAGCCCGGGGCACGCAGCAGGGCGACCCCGAGTCCCACCGCCGTGGGGGAGGGAAGTCGCACCTGTGGGTCTAGGAGCCGCATCACGGGGGAGTGCTCAAGACGTTGGGAGTCTCAGCGCTTTGGGGGCGCTCTGGAGTTGGGGGTCACATAGTTCTAGAGGGCGCTCTGGTCAGGGGGGCAGGAGTGCGGACTCAGAGGCGCCTTGGGGTCCTGCAGCAGAAGTCCTGGGGGGCCTTCTGGTCACAGTCAGGCTCTAAGGGCTCCTCTGCGCTCCCCGCGGCTGAGATGCGATGCGGGGCTGGTTTGTGGTTCGAAACTCGGAGCTTTGGCCGGGATGGACAGCGCCCTTGGGTCCCCTGCAGACTCACCTTTTTGGCCTTTTTGCCCCCGACTGGTGCCATCTTCGTGGTGTCCCGGACGGACGGTACTTAACACGGATGAGGACCGGCGAGGCGAGCGTTTCCCCCTGAGAAGCCCGGAGCTGCACGGCGGCAGCAGCCGGGCTCTTTATACCCGCTGCTCCCGCGGGGTGGGTTTCCCCACCCCCGGTGCGGTCCAACGCGGGCCTCGGGCGGGGAACACGCCCACCAGCCCTTGATCCCGGCCTGTCGCTGCTTGGGAACCTGCGTGCGAAGGAGGTGATCGAGATTGTTCTGCCAAAATGGGTGAAACCATCCAGAAGTAAAATAATAATAATAATAATAATAATAATTCCACTCGCTCAGGTTTCAGACCTCCCTGTGCCCGGCCCTTCTTTTCCCCTCGCGGGTCCCCGACCCTGATTTCTCCCTTGCCTGGGATCGTGTATCATTACTTCCTTAAGTCGCTAGGCCAGACCCCTAAGAATTCCATCCAATGCCCAAATATTTGTCAAAGGCCGAGGATACAAGATTACTGAACGAGGAGGCTTGCAGTTCTTGGAAGAACTGCAGCCTAAAGTGTGACCTCCTGTGTGATATACACCCAGTGGATATGTATCTGAACAAAATATGACATTTACAGAAGGGTCCGATACTGACCCTGCATTAGTGTGTGTGTGTGTGTGTGTGTGTTCAAAGTGAACTTTACCCTTATATCCAAACATGCCTTACAGTTTCTAATAATATCTTTGCAACATTTAACAAGGACAAACACTTAATGTTTATATATGACAGTGGAAATGTACTTTAGAGACTTCAAAATTCAGCGTGAAAACTGTGTATAAAAACGAATAGGCATTAGAGAAACTGGAGGAAAATAGAAATGTTAATAGTAGTTATCTGTTGATGGTAGAGTTAGGTCTTGCTTTTATTTTATTCATTATGTTTTACTGTATTTTCCAAACTTTCTTTACAGTGAGAACACATTGACTTTAAAAATTTTTTTAATTTAATATATTTATTTTTTATCCAGCAGGTTCTTATTACTTATCCATTTTATGCATATTAGTGTACATATGTCAATCCCAGTCTCCCAATTCATCCTACCACCACCAACCCCCCCAGAACACATTGACTTTAAAATAATGAAAACATTAGTTTAGAAAAATGTACAACGTAAGAGTAAATAGCCTAGAGAACAACTAAGAAGTCTGAAGCAGAGTTCAGAAACTTACCCAAATACGTAAAAGCACACAAGGAAATTTTGTATATAGAACAATAACCTCTATTTCAACAAGTGCAAAGAAGGAAATTACTGTAGCAAGTGATAAATTAATACAAATTTAGTTGCTAAAATTAGGTGCATTTGAGATAAAACTGTGAAATTAGAAAAGTCCTTTTGCTTCAGGTAATTGTCAAGTTTAAAATGGCAAAAAGGGAAGGATGATGGATGCATATTGTAATGCAAATGATCTATTATTTCACCTGTCCGGCAAGAATGAGGCATGAGGTAATGTAGGCATCCTTCACAGTGCCTAGATTTTCAACCATGAAAGCATTGGAGTATATGAGTAGGTAACAGTTCAGTTATTTAATGCGTCAACTACGTATATTATTGATATTAACCAGGTGAGTATGGGTGAGACGAGCAGGTTTAGTCTGAGTCTAGTTAGGGCTGCAGAGAGCAGTTGCGGTGGTGGGTACTAGTCGCTAGAGGGCAGTATCAGGGCTCGACTGTAAAAACTGAAAGCCGCTGTTCTCAATTTCACAGTTCGTCCACTTTCAGCAAAACTCAGGAGAGATTTTAAACTAGCAACATTTAATTTAAAAATGAATTGCGAACTTTTAGTAGATAATATAGACACATGGCAAAAACGTTAAAGTCTTTCCCCAGCTGCTATTCCCGGGTCAAGTCCTCCCTGGAGATAACCACTGTTACCTGTTAACTATTCTTCCGGAACTCTGTGCCTATGTAAGTGTATACATGTATAGATAAGGATTTGTATTTAAATGTAGGGAATTTAATTTATTTAGTCACTTATCCACCTCCACCTTTTCTGAAATGATTAATAGGCAGCTGTTGAAATAATTTTGTTTTTCTCCAGCTTCTCAATTTGTTCTACCTCCACTCCCCACGCCAATGGGGTCCATTAAAAAAATTCATGCACCTGCTATTTCCGTAATAGCTAATAATATCCACAGCTCACTGAGTGCTTACTCTGTGCCAGGCACTACGTTAAGCCTTTTACATATGCAATATTATTTACTCCTCACAATTCTGTGGGGTAGACACCCCCTCTTTGTCCTCAAGAACCATGAACGCAGGGAGATATAGAAGAGTTATCAGAGTGATCTCTGAAGGCCCTGTGCCCCATTTCCTAAGTCCAAAGTACTAAGGTGGCTTGGATGCCACCTGGGGAGTGAGTTCTGTAGTAACCGTTCTTGGGAGGCTGTCCATGTTCTCTGTTCTCTGCTAGAGCAATGAGATGAGGAAGGTCACATAGCACAGAAGTCTTTGACCTCCTACGTAGACATTTGGGGTCAAAAATATATCCTGAAGGGAAAGAGGAGGGTTAGAGCCGGAGGTCCACTCCCTCAGTTTCATCACCTCAAAAAGAGAGGTTATGGTTCCATCTCCAGCTAGTGCTTTGCTCCACTTATAACCCTATTTATTAACTCAACAGACATTTAAGGCCCATGCATACAACGAGTCAAGCGCCATGCTTGTTGCCGGAGATAAAGGATATTTCCTCCATTTTCCCAAAAGGGGGAAATAGATTCCATCTCATGTAAGAGTTAAAATGTCCCCTTTATCAATATGCAGATGTAAAAAATGTCAGGACTTTCCATTTTCCATTCAACTGGGATCATCTTTAAAATGAAAGTGGCTTTTCATAGATCTTTTTAGACTAAAAATGTCTTATTTAGCCTCTAAACTGTTGAACATGTTTTATGTTTTAACATCATGTAGAGCAGTGTTTGCAAACTGGTAGCATGGAAATGGGGCCAACTTCTGTGTTTACTTTGGCAAGACCAGTGTTTTGAAAAAATTGAATGTGGATTCCTTTATGTGGCGCCTTCCCATTTGCCGGTCTGCCCGACACCCAGTTGTTCCACTCTTGATTGGTTCACGTATTTACCTTACCTTGAAGGCATGTGAGTTTTCAACCTCTGCTGTAAGTAGAAGGAATATTGGGGTTATCAAATACATGTGAGATGTCCTTTGGTCCGCGTTCTCCCAAATAGCCCCCAAACTGAAGATTTCACTTTCCTTATATTTTTCTATTGCCACTAATCTCAGTTATTTTCTGTTGCCACTGCTTGGGATCATTGTAAAGGGATGGTGGGGGTGGGCTTTTCACCTAAAACCCTCTTTCCTGGGTGCACAGCCTTTCCTCACTTTATCTTTTCTGGTAGTACAGCTGGTCCCAGAACAACTTGTGGGTTAGGGGAGCCAACCCTCTGCAGAGTCGAAAATCTGCCTGTAATTTCTTGTCTGCCCGCCTTGTCAGCGGTTCCTCCATATCCATGATTCAGCATCCTTAGATTCAACCATCTGCAAATCATGTATTACTGTAGTATTTACTATTGGAAAAAAATCCGTGTATGGGTTGACCTGCACTTTTCAAACCCTTGTTGTTCAAGGCTCAACTGAGCTTCATTCCCTCTGTCCATTGCAACGGCTACACTCAACATGATCCCAACACACCAGGCACATTAAACCACATCACGCAATTACTCCTCTTTTAAGGGTCTTGGTTACTTATGTAAAATTCAAGCTGAAGCTAGGTGACTTCTCAGATTCCTTTTTTGCGATTGGCTTAGCGTATACTTAGAACAAAAAACAACCTTTTCCCATGTTCTTTCTTTGCCTTCCTCTTGTGGTCAGCAAGCACTTCCTTAGACTGGCTGAGAGGATACCTCTGGCTACTGTTCCTGCCTCCAGCTTCTGCCCATTCCTAGTTCCTGGAGAAATAGTGGGTTTTATTTTTGCTGAACTATTCAGGACTTCTTTCCACCACAGGCAAAAATGCTTCTCTCAGAGCTCACAGATCTGCCATCTTGTACAGTCTCCTGGATTCTGCAGAAGAGTTCTCTAGCTAATGTTCCTGTGAATTCTGGATACCCCCCGTTTCCCAGACTATCCTCCCAGCAAGGTAATTGCTTCCCAGGTTCTCTTTCTAGCTCTGAAATTTTCTCTCCTCTCCTCCCTTTCCTTTAATGCTTTCTAACAGGATAATTAGCCTGTCTTCTTTGGTCATGTGTTCTTTTGCTTCTTTTTCTTGAAACAAAACAAAACCAGAAACTATAACTTTATGGGCACTTACTATGTGGAGTTAGCCATGCTAAGGTCTTCATAGGCATTATGTAATCTTCACAGTAAACCCAGGAGGTAGGTACTTTGCCATCCCCATTTTACTGATGGCAATACTGAGGCACACAGTTTAAATGGGAACCTTCCCAAGGTCACGCCAACAGCGAGCACAGAGCTGAGAGGAGGATTTCAGCCCAGGACGAATGTGGTCAGAGATCATACTCTTTAGAGCGACTCTATTCTTCCTTTTCAGTAAAGTGTTTTTCTAAAAAAAAAAAACTTTCCAAACTCTTTATAACCTCATCCAACTCACGGCCCCTCCCACTCACCTGGCCCAACACAAAGGTCTCTTCTCCTGGTCAGGAGAAGTCCAGATTCACTAGAAATACAATTAGTTACCAACATGTTACTGACAGAAAACAGTCTGCCCTGTCCAGGTCATCTCCACGTGATGACTCTTGGATTGTGTGTAACCCCTGGCTTGTCCAGTCATACTGAAACTTTGTTGTTTTAAATGGGTACTGGAAAAGAAAAGCCATAATTTCCTGGGATAGGCAATCAAACCTTGGTTTCCTACATCTTTTTTTTTTTTTCGCGGTACGCGGGCCTCTCACTGTTGTGGCCTCTCCCGTTGCGGAGCACAGGATCCAGACGCGCAGGCTCAACGGCCATGGCTCACGGGTCCAGCCGCTCCGCGGCACGTGGGATCTTCGCGGATCGGGGCACGAACCCGCGTTCCCTGCATCGACAGGCAGACTCCCAACCACTGCGCCACCAGCGAAGCCCGTACATCTTTGAAAGATGAATAA